AGTTTTCTTAGTCATTGATTTTCGATCATAATAATTTGATGTGCTTTATGTAGCGGAAAGGAGCAGCAAAGACGCAGCACAATTCAAAGCAGCTTTATTGCCACAGAATGCATTCATGAATCTGACCAGAATGCTGACAATAAAGTTTGAACGTTATGTGCATTTGATTTTATGTGTGTCCCACACCCACACCCTCCCTTCCTCCTTCTCTCTGGCAGATTGTATTTTTATGACTTTATAATGCGGGCTTACTATCTCGGTTGTCGTTGGCCACAAACGATTACTGATTTACACTCGCATATATCGTACATATTATATAGTAGATATACTTGTGTGATTGTGCAACTAGAAGCCAGTTAAGAAACACAAAGCACAGAATAATTTGACGTGTGCTTGGGGCAAGCAATAACCGGGCTAAGCTAAAATTTTCACATTTTATCAAACTTATCCGACTCGCCACATCAAAAGTCCAATCAAAACATCCGCTCACATTATGCAAAGCACATGCACAAACTAATGTAACTACAAGGACAATAAAGGCAGGACATCAACAGCTGACAACTTCACTTATTCCGCTTGAGCTGTGACGTTTTGGCCCAAAGCCAATCCCATCCGTCCGTACAGCCCTCGTCCCAGTCCGACCAGGCGTTGAAACGTTTCATTTCCGTCGCCATTTTGGCCAACACTTAAAGCAAATGAAATGCCAGGTCCAAGTCAAACCGCAGGCGTAACACAAGGACAAGAACAACAACAACAACAACAATCAACTGAAAGGCTCAACGAAAGGCAAGAAAAAAGCTCATTAAATTAATGCAAGCCTAAGGAGTTTCTTCTGCATCTTCTAAACTAATTCTCAGCACAAAAAAACGACCGTCTCTCGAAATTTGTCAAAAGATCTGAAATGCTGATAGTCGTCGACAAGAAAAGCCAAAATGACGAACAAATGAACGAACGGATGCCAGCCGTGGGCGATAAGCAGCAGCTTATTTATATGTATTGGCACTCTTAGGTCTGTCTGTCTGTACATATGTATATATTTGTATGTACATATATACTTGTATGTATTTGTCGCCTACTGAGCCCGCAATTGTCAATTATGTTAAAGTGTTTATTGAGCTGCATTTAATCGCATTCAAAACGCTTCTGGTTAGCCATATCTTCCATTACAATATCCAGGCTATCGAATTTATTGGGGTGTGACAGTTAAGCCAGAAAAATAAACAAATAAATTGTAGAGTTTTCTGAGACATGCATTTTGTGATACAATTTTTGGTATTTATTTTAGGCATTTAAAATTCCTAAAAGTCTTCTATTTACATTTATAAGTTTAAAGTGTTATATTTTTGAACAAAATGATGATAAAGAGAAAGGTCTGTTGTTGTTAAAATTGCACTTTTTATTAATTTTAAATATATGTTTAATACAATATTATAAGTATTAACTTTCCTAGGTATATTGTTAAGCACACAGTTGCCCCTTTTTAATTTTTTAGCAGCAAAAATCGCCTTCATTAACAGTTTTCCACACACACACACAAATACATACATTCGGTCGAAATAAATTAGTTAAGCTGTAACTTTTAATGTTTAGATAGGCTTTCCTTTATTTGGATTTCCCAACAAAAGCCTTAGCTTGCTCGAAAATGCCATAAACCTTTAACCCATGCCTCACATATTTAGCCATCAAAATTGCTTATGCATAAAAAGTCATGTCGTGCTCAAAAAAAGACGAACCACACACACACACACACAAAGCACATATGACAAGGTAGCATAAAGCTTAAAATATACAAAGTCGCTGCCCAACACACAGCATGCAAAACATTTTATGGACGTCCAGCCAGTATTTTAACCCAGTCTCTCACTATCACTCAGCGAGCTGTGTTTATTTTGACAAGCGTATAAAAAAGATAAATAGCCAGAGTAACAACAATAAAACAACAACTGTGGACATGTGGAACAAAAAGCGGCGCATTTCCGCTTACCGGTCTTTTTTTGTGGTTCAGTTCCGGCCAAGGCCCGGTATAGCTTTTCTCTTACCTTTTTTCTATTTGTTCGGTATTTCAAGCGCGCTCTACATATTGTTCATATTGCTTCAGCATCGCTGACTTTCTATCGCATGCCACAAGCACACACACACACATACACACACACACATACACTCACACACAGGGGCTGCTTAGTCATGCTTATGATACACACGCGCGCACACACATGCTGCGAAATTGTCTAACTGTAAACAATAAATATAAACATACCGCAGACGACAGCAACCACCTTATCCCCTCAAGTTCAAATAGAAATTTGTTTGCAATTTTTTGTCATGCATAATATTTACGGGGAAAACGGCTAATGCTTGTCAGGCTACCTAGAGATTATGCATACGACCCGTGCACAGCATGTGGGAATTGATTAAGCCACAGTGAAGGGACTAAGTCCCTTAAAGTTAGACACAAGCCAGCTAGATGAGCTTAAATTTGCGACTAATAAGCCACAAAGTGTGGAAAAGTCACATCAAAGTTACTAACTAAACTGAGTAACATTCTTGACTAAAAACATTTTTATTATAAATATAAGGAATATCTTTAAAATATACTCAATTTTTATAGATGAACTCAATTTTAATATGAGGCGAACAATATTGCCTGATAATCACTCAAAAGAATGAGCAAAATATCATTTACTTGTAGCTTTGATCTTTACAAAAATTCTTTTAACTTTTGAAGTCTTTTACTTCATAAGCAATTCAACAAAAATGCTATCTTAACAAAAAAAATGGCATACTCTGTGAAAATTCCCTATGATTCTGGAGCCAAATCGATGAGGCGACCAACGATGAGTCATTTCTAAAATGGTTTAAGCCTGTTTAGTTTGCCTGCCAAATATAAACCAGTCCTTAGCTGTTAACATTAAAAATAAAAGCTTTCTGTGACACTTTTTTTTTTATTATTAAAAGTGATTTAAAGTTTAAAAGTTTGGTCCTGTAAGAAATACCAGTTACCTCCCAAAAATTTCCAATTGCCGATAAGTAGTCAATACGTATTGATAATTGACTTCAATTTTGCTGAATTTATAATTAAATTTGAAAGTATTTATATAAAGTTGTACAGGATTAAAAGTTAATCAATTCTCTGGTCGACAATTATAAATGACAATAACGTGTTTTCTTTTATGTATTTTTAATTGCAATGAGCTGAACAATTAATGGCGTCAACTTTCCATAAGTCAAAAATTATATTATTTTGATTAAATATTTATTTTTTATATTTATTGCAGAATACATAAAGCCACCATATTTTATTTTCATCGTGCGCAAACAAAAGTTGCACAGATTATCTGAGCTATAAAATATTATTCATTTGCTCATTAAGCCAAACTAGAACACTAAAAAAACATAAATAGCCACAAATTTAATACTGCCTGCCAGCCAGTAGATAAGAAATGAAAGCTGAATTAAAATTTCAAACAACTATGGCAGACAATTCGAAAAGAAGAAGGAAATAATGTACGCAGCTAGTTTCTTTGGCCAAAGAAGTGATGAGACCGATTTAGAAATTGGTGAAGGCGAAACTGAAAGAAGGAAGCAGGATCTATCAAAATAATACCCACTTGAAATACTTGTATGTATAAAATTTAAATGCGCAATTGCCACTCAGAAGTTTAAAAGACGTGCTGGGGATATGTAGAAATGTGTTGAAGCACTTTAATGCATATACTTGTATACAACAATATTTCAAAATAGGACTCGGCAGCCATTTTAAAAGCAGCGCAAACAAATGGAGCCAGCAAGCAAGGAAGCAACAGGAACCACTTTCAGAGACCATTTTTTATTACCAGCACACAACCCTTAAAGGAAAAGCTACGTCGCTCCATTTGCTTTTGGCCGCATGTCTGAGGGTTTTGAATTTAAATGCAACATGCCACAGTCACACTTGCAGTTACAGTTAGAGTTAGAGTTACAGTTAGAGTTCGTCGCCACTAATGTACAAAACATGTAACATATATTTTTGTTATTTTAGCGAGACGAGTGGATATTTACATTTCGTTCGCTTTCATCGAGGAGGCGAAGAGTTAAGTGAAATGAAAAAAAGGCGTTCCATTTCTTTGCTGGTCCGTGTTTTATGTTCATTTCTTTTTATCATCCAGCAGGATTTGGCGAGCAAGTGGGCGGGCAGACAAATGTACACAGACCTTAGGACGCCAGGTAGACTTTAAGTGCCATGTTGAATCTTTACTTTCCATGTTGATACTGTTTCAGTTGTTGTTGTTTTTCTTGTTGTCGCATAAACTGTTTGGCATTTTTATGGCCTTTCGGCGTTTCAGGACCTGTCTCACTTTCAATGGACTTGCTGTATTTACATTTTGGTTTGCTCGCACAAATATTAGTGCAACTTATTTATATGTAAATATGTGTATGTATGTACATATTTATGTAAACCAAGCTCGCTTGAAATACTTTATGGCTTTCGACTGGGTAGGCAAATAAAAGTTAAAGCTGCCAGAAACAAACAAAGCACTAAAATAATGTCACAAAAGTTAATTTTCGAAAGGTGTGGTAGTATTTAGCGCAGACTAACATATCTCTTATTTTAAATCTAGGCTCTGAAAGACGTCAGCTGTGGGCTTGGCCCACATCAAGTACTTGTTAACTTGTTGTTGAAAAATTATACTTATTTTGAATTACTGAGTGCAACACTTAGCCAGAAAGTTTATCAGAAACCCACAAACTATGGGTGTGTACAGTTTTAAGTGTTTTACTTTTGTTCACACTGCAGCAATGGCTCTGAAAGACTTTCCATTAAGTAAATATATGCAAGTGTTGTGTGAAAAGCTTTCGCTACATTTGCCAGACAACGACGTCGACGACAATTACAAAAGTTGGCCGAGCTGTTGAATTACTTATTAACAGACATTATTTGTATGCGGCTCTTGGCACGCAATAAAAACCCTACTGATGATGATGATACACTCTCTCTCTCTCTCTCTCTCTCTCCATTTCAGTTGCACAGTTGTTGCAAATGCACAACAACAATGAAATGCATGTTCAATGCAGGAGCAAACGACAACAACTACAACATCAACAACAACAACAAGCTGTGCAGGCCTGCCTGTCAGCTGCAGAAGGGGCAGGAGCATCGGCAACAAGTGGACCGCAGTCATGTAACTGGCACCGTAGGACGATTGCATTTGGCATGGCTGCTTCTACTGTTGTTGCTGCTATTGCTGACGCCAGTTGAACATGCAAATGCGACAACAGCAACAGCATCGGCCACAACAACAGCAACAGCAACACTCGCAACAGCAGCAGCAGCAGCAACAACAAGTCTAACAGCAACATTGAATACTTCAACAGCAGCCTCATCGTCAATTGCTCCCGCCCATGCGCCCAGTAATGGATCTGGAGGTGGGACTGGGACTGGGACTGGCACTGGCCAGGCAGCCATTACATTCGGCATTCCATTTAAAAACATTGTGCGCATCGGTGATGGCAACATAGTCACTAGGGTGAGTATTAAAGTCCCATTTGTGCGCAGGGACGGACAAATTTTTACAAATGTTTACACATTTCTTCATTTGTGGGACGGTCCAAGTACATAGATTAGCATAATGAAAGAAAATATGAATATGAATATATTGATATGATTCTGCCGATTGGAATGCTCTGTTGCCATCCCTGGTTCCTTGTTAAAAGTTGGGGCGCCCGCATACGCCCAAGCAGCAATATAATTTATCATTAACTGCAATTAGCGGAAGTGCAATTAAAATAATGAGACACACTTCAAGCTAAAGCGTGTCGCAGCATGGCGTCTGGAGAGTGTCTCCTAAGTGTTCCATGAATAGTGTGCATATGTGTATGTGTGAGTAAGTGTCTGTTTGTGTGTGTGTGTGTGTGTGTGTCAAATCGCACTTCATTGCACACTTAGTCTGACTAATTGACTTGTGGTGCGATTGCACTTCACTACCAAATATTAAGTGCTCCGCTTACTTAAATGTCCTGAGCTGTGTAATTTGTTAAGTGGATTTTAGGAAATCAAGAGGCAGCAGCATTTGCCGCAATTGAATTCAAGCTCTTAGTGCCAGCTAATTAAATGGATGGCCATGCAACAAAAAAGACGAAACTCAAGGTTTAGCTCAGCATTGAATTTATTTGAAGGTATTAAGAATTAAGGGAGAATAGCTTAGTCTAATGAATGACCTTCGTGATTTTCTCTTAAAGATCTTAGAAAAATCACTATTCTGATGCAAATATAGCCTAATTCAAGGCGTCTTTTATTTAATTATAGATCAACTCAATGGGATGGCATGTATTTAGTTAGGGCGTGAAAGAAGTTCATTGGTTCATTGGTAGCCAGAAGCATAAATTATTTTCTTAAATCGCTTAATTTCTGATTGTGATTCAATTTGTATTCGAAATAATCACAGCACTGGGACACACACACATACACAATATCATAAAATGCTCTACAATACTCGTATATACCCTTTTTATGCTCACACTCAATTGCTGTAACTTTTCTGCTGCCACACAAACAATCAGAAACAATCTCATGGACCTACAATCAATTTCTAATCAACTACTTTCAACAAAAACTCAATTGTGCTGCCATAAAACACTGCCGCACAATGGCAGAACAATGGACTTCCCAATGCCTGAGACAAAGTCAGTTATGGAGAGCTGTCTGGCACTTTTGTTAAAACAATTTAGCCTTTAAAGACGTAAGCGTTACGTTCTAAAACAAAAACTTTCTACGCTTAGAACAAAGAGAAAGCCAATAACGCAATTTTCCACTCAAACGATAAAAGGGTCGTTGCGTCAAAACTCCAAAAAAAAAAAAAAAAAAAAAAAAAAATGGCGAGGGGCTGGTCCGCCATTCCTTAACCACACACGCATGAAATAAGGAACAGCGGCGTTCATTGTGCTGGTCAGTGGGCCACGTTTAGAAAATTTATTTTTAATGCGTTTGTGTACAGGCAACGGTGTCGACGATGCCAGTGTCAACAGCAACGGGCCCTTTGCTTGTCGGTTAATAAAATGATTTAGGTTAACAGAGAGCGTTCGGTGTTCGGTTCGCAGCCTCCTCACTCTGCTTATGCACAAGTGCGTCCTGACAACGCATAAAAGTAAATGCTAATAGACACAAAGTGCTCCAAACACACCCACACAATGCGTAACTAAAGTACACGCTCGCTACAACGAACTAACTTCCCACAACTGAAGACTTTTTGACAGAACAAGTCCGTCCGTCATCTTCTAGCCTTATTGCAGATATTTATTTGTAGACTTGTGGATGTACAAAATAAAAGACTCTGACCCTTTTTTTTATAAACAATTTTTCACTATTTATTAAGCTAGTATTCTGCTACCAATATGCCAGCTTAAGCTAGTAGTACATTAATATGGAATACAAATATTGTCCATAGGTATACATCTATAGGAAACATATATGTAAATATACAATGTAATATTTACAATAGGCTTAAATTAAATATGAAATATATTTTATGAAATTCTTTATTTCACAAAAGGGATCTTGTGGGGAGATCCTTCGGTTGGCACTTCACTTTCTTCACTATTCTTAGAAACCATTCGAAACTCTTAAAAAAATAAACTTAAATAATTTTATTTGTAGAAGCAAATGATAATTTAAAAACACTTAGTAAAGAAAAATATAAAAAAGGTTCCCTGACAATGCATTTTCGTAAAATAAAGTTAATTTCAATTAATTGTTTCCGCTCAGAATACATAAGACAGCAATCAGCTTTCTATAGACTTGAAATAAATGTTAAAGGCTTCGTTTATCAAAAAAAAAAAAAAGAGAACTTAAACATTTTTGATAAACAGACTGATTCTAAGGTTGAAGAAAATATTCTAACCTATTTGAAAATATTCTTAGTATTATTTGTAGATAGTTTTCTGTTGAAATATATAGGTTACTTCATAGGAAAACAGATTTGGGGTAAAAGTTCTTTTCAACATACACAAACCTTCTAAAGAAATCCAACACAAACTTCTTCGTAAAATTTACAAATGCGTCTCCACTTTATCGAATGTTTACTTTACTTGTGTATGTGTCCATGTGCTAAGACTTAACTTTGTCTCTCGTTGCTTCTCATTTTCAGTCCGCCATCGAACAATCGCTGGTCACGATACACGACATTGCCACAGAAAATTTGGGCACGCTGTGCATATCGACGCTATATCGGCCGCTTCAAGTGCCCATTAACTCGGAACGCTATGAGAGTTCCAGACAAAAGGCTGATTTGGCAGCATCGATACTGCAAGAAGTTGGCATAATACGGCATGGCGGTGAGTACAATTACATACATATTTACATACTTATGTATCTCTTGTAGTATGTATATAGGACGAGTGCTCCCACATAAAACAAAATGCGGGCTTCACGCTTCATGTCCCTATTGATTATTGATTTTATTTCGCCTGTTTGGTGTGTCGCTTCACTTTTGGCCTGATTGTTGTGCATGGCCAGTAAAAATTTAATTTCCGGCTGTTACAATTCAATGTCAATGCGTTGGCAGGGGTCGGGAGTTTTTAAATGTGTTGTGGGAGTTTGGGGAACTTTTAGAAACAATAGTTGAAAAAGTTTTTAAGCAATATGAACAGGCATGAGGAAATGACGCTTCAAAGTAGGATTACAAATTTGCAGTGAACTGCTTAAAAAATTTTATATACAAGTATATATATTGCTTTCAAATAATAATAAGCTTTTGTTACAAAAATGTATTCAAAGCAAATTATCAAATGTTGGCAAACAAATGAATGAATCATTCCTCTGTGTTTTTGTACGTAAGAGTTCAATAAAATACATAAAAAATTATATATTATTTTTATTTAGTCGCATTTATTGTATAATTGAAGAATATTGAATGAGCTCTGCAATAAGCTAATCTTTATTTGTATAGGAAAAAAAAGTAACAATACAAGCTAATACGTTGTGGAACAGGAAGAAAGTTCATTTTATTTTGGAAGTTAATTTTAAATAATAAAAGTTTAAGGAATAAAGAGAAGATGTCAACTTTAGAGCTGAAGTATTTTAAAAATGTAGTTTAAAAATTGGAAACTCATTTTGTTTTTAAATTTAATTTCAAATAATACAAGCTTAAGGAACGAGAAGACGGTGTCAACTTTAGAGCTGAAGTAATTTAAAATTGGAAATTCATTTTATTTCTAAATTTAATTTCAAATAATGTATAAGCTTTAGCAATAAAGAGTAGGTGACAACTTTAGAGCTGAAGTAATTTAAAAATCTACATTTAAATATTCAGTATATGTGATACCCTTCACATATAATGCACAGTACTTTTGACTATTCGTGTGTGCATACAAGTATGAAAACCCATAAATTAGAACACGAAATTTCTTTGCCTAATCAAAAAAGCAATTAAAAATATGAATACCAAAAATTTGGCTAAATTGAAAATATCAAAAAGTTTCAGTTGCAAGACTGCAATCGAAAATTATTTAGAAATATCGATCACATCCAATGGAGAAATTGAAATAAAGTATAGGAATGCCGACGCCCAAAAGTAGGCAACACATTTTTGAAAACCCAAGCGCCTTTTTGTTTGCTTTTCACATGGCCCCATAATGCCAATGCCAATCAATCAGGCAATTGATAACCTTTTTAGTAACTGGCGCTTTCGAATTGGCTTAAATTTATTCGATTTTAATGCGCACATCCGCATTTAATATGCATGCCAGCAGAATTTTGAACAGGCTGTGGGAACGAGCCAAATGGCACGCCAAGCCATCGAATGTACATACATACATACATATATACTTGTACATATCGCAGGATTAGTTGTGTATGTATAAGGCGGCTCCTGTTGCTCCCGTTTGAGTGTGTAGCACCGAATTCGCTTTCACTTTGTGCGATTTTTGCTGACACGTCGCACCTTTTCAGTGTCAAAATGTTGGAGTGGTACGGGACCGAGCATTGTGGGGCATTGAAAACGTGAAAGCGAGAATCAAGTGGTGGTTGGGGTTAGAAAAGCAACTTGTATGCGCTTCAGCACGCAAGCAACAGAATGTACCATTGTTGTTTCAGCTTGTGTTGCTGTTGCTGTTGTTGTTGTTATTATTATCCAGAGCATTGTAGTGTGCGCGATTTTTGCTCGTCTGTTGCGGAAGCTACGAATCATGGCGTGTCCTTGACTACACGACACACTGATAGCTTTGGCTTGTCGCCTTTGCTGGCGTTGTTGTTGTTGTTGCTGTTGCTGCTACTGCTGCTGCTGCCGCTGGCATTTTCAAGGCTTGCCATGACAGGACACAATTCACCAGTGGCGACAACGACGCACTTGCGGCAACGCATCAAACGCCTTCATTTTCTCGCAAAATATTGTTGTTGTTGTTGCTGTTGTTGTTGGTAGGCCAACTGACTCTCATATGCTTGACAACGCTGCTGCTGCTCTCGTTGTTGTTTCTGTTATTGGTCCCTTGTCGTTTTAAGTTGCTGCTCTTGCCAGCCTTGTATATTAAGTTTAAAGTTCGTCTCTGCCTCGTTATTTGACACATGATGGTCCCATTCCACACTCTGACTCTGGCTGTGATTCGCTGCAAATGCTTGGGCTTAAGCCGCCATCAACCTTTATATGTATGTACATCTACATACATGCATACCCATATGTCTATAGTTGTGTGCGTTTAATGGCCGACAGTTGTGGGCCAGATTTTTATATATATTTTGTCTCTGTTTTGAGTGAATTATGCGTGTGCCCTGCCCAGACATCTGTGGAAAGTTACAAACGACAATGTCATGTTTAAATTTTTTGACTGGCAACAGCAGACATGTTAAAACACGCTCATATACTCGTGTGTATCCTGAAAATATGTATATCAGTACATGCGAGTATGCTTGTAACAAGCAAGGGCTATTTATTTGGAATGAAAGACAGCAGAATTCAGTTGTTTACTTCAGAGCTTAAGCATGTATTTTATGTTAATTTTAGTCCCCGACACATACATCAACATGGCTGCCAGAGACATTTTTCAGACACTGTGCTGGGTAGTAGATTTTAATATTACTGAAGATGTTGATCTGGTTCTAAATACTTGGTTGTCAAAAGGTTTTAAGGAGCTTATCTAATAATTGGCACTATAAGTATACATAGAAATATACTTATCTTTCTACGCCTACACAACAAAAATATAAATGAAATAATTTAACAATAAAGTGTTTTTTTGCTCACTCATAACTCACATATTTTATGTAAGCCGGGAATTTTTTATTCATTTTCATAATGTATTTCAAACATTCTTTTTTTATTCATAATTTGCATTTTAAAGAATGCTTAACCCAACATTTCAATTTCGCTTATGTTTACCCAAGATATTAAAATATATTAATTCTAAAATGTGATGAGAATATTAATTTTCTATGCAGACGGCTCTCCAGCTATTTGGCTTTAGATTTAAACAGATGGGTGAAAAATGTTATATTTTTGCCTTTCTGGTTATCAGTCGTTAACACATTTTGGCAATCGCTCTTAATTGTTTTAAAAAATACCATAGCAATTGAAATCTACATTAATTATTATTTAAAATAATACTTATTACTATTTGAAGTAAAGATCAATGAGAAATATATAAAAGAAATATAAATCGAAATATGAGCGAGAAATATTCTGTTAACTGCAATCTCTCTCTACCATCCACTCAGACAAATCAGAAACATAAAGAAGATTTTTTTGCAAGCACCCAGAGGCTACACTCAGTTACAATTGTGCAGTAACTTGGTACATTCATTCAATTAACCCCATCTTACCTTAAATATGAAATCCAATTTCTAGAAACAGATTTATACTTTTCCACAAAAAATTCTGACACGCAGCTGTCGCTTTTGGTCTAATTTGATAAAGGTGGATTGCATTAAAAGTAAACAATTCAATTTTGAATTTTAAATTTCATAACATGCTACAAAAATTCCAAACAAGGACCTGCTGACAGACTGACAGAAAGACAGGCGGCAATTCAGGCAAATTTAATTATAACAACAGACAGCAGACAAATACACCTGCCAAGACAACAGAAACGCACTCACAAAAACTTGAATAATTGCCAATTTTGCATAAACTGCAAACACAAGTATATATGTGTGTGTGAGTGTGTCGACATTTCTTTTGGCCAACTTACAAATTGTAACAATTGCACAAGCGTTTGTTTATTCCAAACACCCACACATACTTACACTCCTGAACACTTTCTTGGTCATGGCAATAAATTCTCAACTCACATAAGATTGATTATGCGCTAAGCTAAGCAGTGGACCAGCAGAAGGTGTGTGTGAAGGGACGGGCGTATAATTGTGTATGTGGTGCTTAAAAGGCAATGGCACGCAGATGATGAATGGCAGAACATCACGAGCAAATGCTTATGAGCTGCCACACACATAGATGAGCGAAAACTGAGCATCAGAACTCAGCACTCCAGGCGGTGACAGCAGGAACTGACAAAAACAATACCGTGCCATGTTAATGCTAAGGTCAGTGCCAGCCGACAAAGAAAATGAGTTGCACTATTGAGTTTGTCTCACAAGAAAACTATAATATTGGAAAGCCAAAGATATTGGAAATTTATTGCATACTTTGTATCTTAAAAAATCTATTATTAGAAAATGAGTTTGCCTCACAAGTAAACTACAACATTGGAAGGCCAAAGATATTGGAAATTTATTGCATACTTTGTATCTTAAGAAATATTTTATTCACTCAAGCGTTCTAGCATTTCTACTGCAGTTCATAGTTCCTCTTTTTCAAAGCATAAATAAGTTTTCCATTCTAATTAAACTGCCCTATAGTAGTTAAATATTTCGGAGTTCCTTAGGAACATTGCTGATTATGGAAAATTTAGACAAATCTCTGCCTCTGCCTAGCATGTGCGTTTGTTGGCCGACGGGGCGTATGAGTGATGTAACATTGACAGTCGCCAAAGGATAAAACACTTTAAAATTGAAACTGGGATAAAGGGATATATAGTTCGGTGCTCCTTAGGAACTTTGCTGCTTATAGAAAACGTAGATAAATCTCTGCCTCTGCCCAGTATGTGCTTTTCTTGACCAACGGAGCGTATGAGTGATGTAACATTGACAGCCTTTAAAATTTGACTGTTACGCTAGCATTTAAAAAAGAAATCGACTCAATAGTTAAGGCCATAGAAATAAATACTTTACATTTTTAATTTTTATAATTATTATTTCTGATAATTATTCGACATTTTATTTGCAGCCTTTAGTCGTATCTATTTTGTTGTTGAAAGTAAAACAATTGTTTTTGCTGGGCTTGCCGATATATTGCACACTTAGTTTTTGCCTCCATAACAAATATTAGAGTTTGAATAATCCGCACAGAATTTGCAGGCATCTGCAACAACAGGGATTCACATTAATTTTAAATAAATATTAATTACAGCTATCAATATTATTGTTGAACATCTTTTGGTAAGAAATAGTCTTCACTAATAAGCTCTTTGAATGATTGCCTTAGCAGAAAGATTTAAATATATTGTATAAGCCTTAAATGAATACATTCGTAAGCCTCTTTGGGATTACAAAATATTTCAAAGTAGTTATTAAATTATATTCTCTGACGAGACAAGTTGTGAATTGTGTCCTCCGCCTTTCAGTTGAAACTCTGATGACTGCATATGATTCATAACACACTTTATATAAACAGACTACTTATACACACATACGTACATATACAATAGTATAAAAATACATGTGTGTCGCATCTGTCAGTGCAAACAGTCGCCTTCTGGCTGGTTTTTGTTTCCATTTCATTTCGACGCGCAGGCAAAACTTTTTCCAACTAACTAATCCATGTCCAAGGGCCGTGTTGACGTTTAGCTGGACCCGTTTATTTGTTTTATTCCTTTATTTCTTTGCGCTTTTGCACAGCATGCTGGCGCACAGAGAAAGTGCTGAAAAGTAGCTCCCAGTAGCAGTCCATTCACAAGCAAACCATTAGCAAGGATGCAAGGGGGAAGGTAAAGGGAAATAAAATATGCATGTAGGTATGTAACGGAAATGGAAAAATGGAGCCCAATGCCAAGTTGTAGGGCACGTGGAAAAGTGCTGTGGAAGTTTCGCTAATCGAATTTAAATAAGTTTACTTTGTAAACAGTTGGGTTTTTTTTGTGTTTCGTCCTTGCTGGCTACACTTTTCATTTTCATTCACACGGTGTGACTTGTTAAAAGTCAAACAACAAGAACAAAAAAAGAAGGCAACACGGGCAGGCGTTAAGTTGCAGGGCCTCCAGACGGGGCAAGTGTTGTGAAAATATTAGCTTTTTAAGCCCAACAATGAACATCCGCACTTTGCTGCCCTGCATATTAATCATTGCCCCTTTGTTGACATGCCTGTCAGGATAAAAAACTTGCAACCGCCCCACACGTTCTAATGATTGTCGTCGCCGGCAATTAGAAATGCCTTAACGTCAAGTCGACATTTAAAACAGAGGCAGGTATTAAATTTCATTTCCAAAATTATCAGCAAATTAGAAGTGCGCCGCATAATTATGTAGCCTTTAATTAGACACCTTTTGAAGGCTCTCATTAGTCATACAATACGTAAGTATTTGATTCGACCAATATCAAAGCCGAGTGGAATTTTTATCGGGCTAGTCCGCTCCATCTTTTACAATTGGCTGCGGTTCACCAAATGGTACAAAATAAATCCATTATGGAAGTATTGGTGGGCATTTCAAAAAGTGGTTTTTGGTAGAAAATGAGAAAGAAAGAAAATGAAGCCGACTTTTTGAGTTGATTTATAAGTAAGGATGAAACAGAGGTCCATTAATTCACACATGCGATGAAAGAACAGTCAAAACAATGGACTAAAAGGGCAGAATCGGCTTTAAGGAAGGCACAGATAGGTTTATCTTCCGCCAAAGCTATTTCTAGAACATATGTAAATTGTTTTTAAATAAATATCATTTTATTTATATACAAGCAAAAAATATGAGATCGGTTAATACTTTATATAGATTATAGTATTATCGACAAAAAAACAACAATAAGCTGCATTGTTGCATTATTGCTGCAAGCGGAAATGCAATCAGTTACTTAATCACTATTCATTTATGAAATGTAAATTGCATGAAGGAAAAAGCTATTGTTGCTGCAAACATACACATTTCTCATTTTAATTTTGTGCATGTAGAGAGCCCGGATACTTTACAATTTACTAACGAGCTCAGCATGGCTCTAATTAATTGTAAGCGCCAGTTACAAATGCAGAAAATCATAAAAGCAAACGAGAACGCTGTAGATGAGTGCAGAATATGAAATACTCTGAAATATTTGAAATATTCATAAGACAAATTAATTTACAACAATAAATGAAACAAATTATCAAATAAAATCAAGTCGGTTATTAAAATTAAACTTAGTTCAAGGTATGCCTTGATTACAATTCGACATTTTTACATTTGAGAACTAAAATTGAAATATTGTTCAAATATAAGGAATTGATAAAGGAAACTTAAGTTATATGTAGAATTTATATTCCATTGCAAAACGCTTATACTATCTTCCCCCATTACGTGCAGGGTATTCAGTAATAAAACCATAACAATGGAGCATTCATCATTGCGCTATTTAAACAATTTTAACTCATCCGCGTACACTTTTAATTAAATAAAATTGAAAATGCCGCTGCGCAACGAATAAAATACACAAAACAAAGGCGTTCAAGTACATGTGTCCTATTTTTGCTGCGATACAAGCATTTACTATCATTGTTGACAATGGCATGGAAACTGGAGGCTCGTTACGCGTTTTAAAACATTTTAAATAACAATAGGTTGATTGCGAAAATGTTCAAATTTATTATTGAAAGAGAAAGCAAACAGATCAATGCTGTTATAATAAACAAATTAACAATAGCTGAGCAGATTCGACAACTTGCTATTTTTTAAAACCAACGGCAATACATTTAAAAGGCAGATGGATTTCCCCTGCTCCGCATACAATTGAAGTACAAGTAGTTTTGGGCCATGTTTTAGGCACTAATCCAGCTTAGGTCTTATCATAAATTTTGATCCAAGTTTTAAGCACTAATCCAGCTTAGATCTTATCATAAATTGGACAGAGGCTATGTATTTTGGCCAAGGGGTGCCACTAGCCCACATATTATAATTACCGAGGTATCGTTCATGCATATTACTGAAAAGACAGCACCAGTTTAATATTTCATTATTAAGAGCGATAATATTCTATTAACATACCGATCACAAGCTCCTTTATACCACCAGGCCCCAACAGATGCACTTGCACAATTATCCGAATCCACGCCGTCGTTATCTCGATCGTAGGTTGAAAACTTTCCATCTATTCTGTTCGACATAAAATCACGAGCATCACCCGAAAACTTACCCAATGTCTTCAGCATATAGGACTCGCTCGCATTACCAATAGAAAAATTGTCGTAATGTGCAAAGCTAGTCTCATTGTATTCGTTTGAAAGATGAACATATAGCTCGTGGGGTTCCGACTTTAAAGTGTAATACAACTTCTTGAGACCGATGAAGAAATCGTCGTCGAAATCACCAAACCCGTTCTCATATGTCTGCCAGTCGCGTTGGAAATTACTCGAATCTTTGTCAGTGGTTCGGCGATAAATGACCATCCAGCCAGATCCAGCGATTTCAGCATCGCAGACTGCTCTGAATGCCTCGATCTGAGGTACTTTTATTTCGAAAACACCACTCTGATTGGCAAAGCTACGGCAACTGATTGGTTGGCAATAAGCCAATTGGGTTTCCAAATCCATTATCAGCCTTGAATTCGTATCGACAGTGCTCTTCAAGTCAGATATTTTACTTTGCTGCTCCTGAATAAGTTGTGAATAAAGAGTCAGAAGATCACTCAAAAGATTTATCGCTTGGGTTTTATACAATTGATTGTCTTCCTCTATTTGTAATTCCTGAAAATCTCCATTCGATAACGTTGCATAATGCAAGCTGTCGTAAAACTAAAAAAATAAAAATATATTTTTAAATGATTGAAGGTAGATGAAGGTAAATTAAGGATGTTCTGACAATTTTCCTACTTACAGGGTCTTTTGGTGTTAAATCCCCTTTAATGCTGGCTAATCCAGTTACGAATAGAAATATATACTTGATCATTGTGTTTGCTATTATTCGAGCTCTTCGACTGTGTCATTCGATGCACTGTTGATGCTAAACTGAGCTTCCTCTATCAGAGTGTTTATATTTATAGTCAGTTTTTGATGCGCCTATTGAACTCAGATAGTCAACGGGTTTTGTTATCAGCAAACCCAATCACATCTTATACTTGTTTTTTGCCAATAATACGTAAACAATTCTTCAAATAATGTAACAGTGTAGTAATTCTTAGAAACAATGACAATCTAGATAATGGGAAAAAGTTAATCCCCGGCTATATACAAGCACTCGAAATCTCTCGCCCCGGAACTTACAGCCATAAATTTGAGGCAGCAACGGTTGTGAATGCATTAAAAAAAAAAAAGCAATGCAGCGAAACGTGGGCTATATTTTAAATTTCGCCGTTTTTCTCCCCTTTTTCCATGCTTTTCTCTGCTGACCTACAAACACACCCAACCACCCACTCGCATACAGGACTGTCGGATGCTTTGGCCAAGGGCTTGCTCACGGATGAATACATAACGGGTGCACGCATTTTGGCTTTGAACCTCACAAATGGGGCTGTGCAGTCGTATGTTTGGTGGGTGAAAAGCAACCATGAAAAGATTGGCGAAACGCAGCGCTACGAGGAGGAGGGACTGCAAATTGGAAAGAAGCCGGCGCACAGCTATCCGTGGTAAGCATAGAAACGAATACAAAACAACAACAACAACAACAACGATAGCGACAACGACAAAAAGTCAAATTGGGAGCGAAAGTCGGTGGAAAATATTGAAATGAAAATTGGCACGCGCTGGCGCTAGCAATTAGGCAAACAGGCAAAAAGTTTGCCATAGGCTTTAGGCCGCAACAACAACAACAAACACAACAATAACAACAACAACAAACACAACAACAACATTATTATCAACAACTGTCTTTTCCGCAGGTTCGACGATGAAACCAGCACCCCAACACTACGTTCACCGAAATTCGCGCCGAGCCCACCGAACAATTACTATAAAGGCTGGTGGACCTATCCCTATTTCTCCTGCTCCCTGAGCAGCTGGCTGGTCTCGTACAGCATCGCCATACCGCCGACTGGACGCCACGGACTGCGGGGCTTCATTAGCATTGACATTGATGTAACGTCCCTGCGTGTGAATCAATGCGAGGCGGCGCCCTATCGCTTCGGCAGCCCACAGCAGAAGCACAAACAGCAGACAGCGGCTCGACGGCTATATGTGGGCGCCAGTATCGGAAGCAGTGCGGCCCTTATTATCGGGAATGATGTGGAGACCATCAACGACTTGCAGGCCTTCCACAGCTCACACAAATGCCATCGCAACTCCATGGTGGTAGGTTCAAAATGCAAAGGCCAGAGTGCTTTCCGGTTGATTGCAAAAGCCCTGCAACATGCACAGTGGAGCAAACTATCGGGAAAAGTCTTATCGATCGTTTTGCAGCTCTAGTACAAATATATCTTTCCCTTAGAACCACTCATCATGTATCATCTCTCTAGCGAGATCAAATATTAGCACTCTCTGTCTTTTTAGGGTGAAAGTGTCCCTCAAAATTTGACCCTCAAGTGGGTAAATGTTGAAGTCAAATTGCTTTCAATTTTTTCTTTTTCAAACTCTTAAATAAAATAAGTTTTAATTTGACCTTCAAGTGGGCAAAAGTTGAAGTCAAATGCTATATGCGATTGCTTTCAAGTTTTTCCTTTGTCAAACTCTTATTAGAAATAAGTTTTAATTTGACCGTCAAGTGAGTAAATGTTGAAGTCAAATGCAATAAAAGATTTCTTCGAGTTTGTTCCTTTTTCAAACCCGAAATATAAATAAGTTTTAAAGCTTTTAAGCCTCCCCTCCCTCAGGTAGCTCTTTTTATACCCTGTACCCAGGGGGTGAAAGAGTATGCTAGTTTTCCCTCGTTAGTAAAATAAACTCTTTGTCACAGTTCTATAGATAAAAGGGACCTACAACTAACCTTCCCACAACATTAATTTTTTAGAGAAATGATATCTCATGTACATTTCCTGAAAAGTTTTGAATTTTCTACTAATATTGTTCGTTTTTCATTTGCATTCCCCATCCCACTGTGCAGTGCGATTACCGTCAACCCAGCAGCGAGTCTCCCACCATAACGGGCAGCAAAATACTGGCTGCCACACCCAATACCTGGTCACGGGGCGCCTATCAGTGCCTGTGCAAGCGTGGCTTCTACTCGCTGCGGCATCCGGACGGCTTCAATGGCACCATCATGGAGATTGCCTGGCAAGAGCATCAGGACAATATAAGCAATTACTATACAGATGTATTCAAGTGCTTGCAATGTGCGCCCGGCTGTGACTATTGCACGGGTCCAGAGCCCTGTCTGGCCGAGTACCATTGGCCATTTAGGTAAGTAAGCCACACACACAGTCAGCCAGCTCTTCAGAACAATAGAGGACACTTGTTCACTTCTTTGCAGGATATCCCTATTGACAATATCAATTGGCTGTGCCTGTGGCACCTTTCTGATGGCCGGCTATCTATTTCGTCATCGTCGTGTGAAGGTCTTCAAGGTGGCCAGTCCAATATTTTTGTTGATCACGTTGATTGGTTGTGCCATTATGTATCTGGAGGTGAGTGCGAATGTGTGTTAAAACATGTCAGCAGCACAAGCTACTTAACCCATTAAAAGTTATGAATGGCAAACAGCTAAAGACCATTAAAGGTGCAGGCTTATGAGCTGCTAATGTGACAAAAGGTCTAGCATAGCCTCATTTATAATTAAAAGCACACCATCTGCGGACGGACAGACGTGTGGCCATGTCTTTCACTTACAATTTACCCGCATGGGCAACCGCAACATAAAAGTCCTGTTATGTGTTTTTAAATGGCAGCCATTTCATACCCTACACTCAAAGGGAGCAAATGGTCTTGTTCAGCTTTTAAGATTGTATGCAACAGCCACGAGTAGGCTGCCCGATTTCAACTTACTTGAAGGTGCCTATGCTTATCCAAAAAATAGCAAATATTTGTTATAATATTTCCAGAAGTCTGACATCTTCAGTTAAAGCTGACTCTTGACAAATTAAACTAGAAGCTAATGTATTTAAATTAAATCTTTAGAGCTCTCTTACACCACTCTTTCCACTTCTCATGTAATGGTTTTCTTTTGCGGCAAGCAAAGGGTATACAGCAGTCGCTGTTGCTGGCTTTGTCGTCAACTCTTACAATTATATTGTCGCAGCATTAGCTAGCTAGCCAACAATGTGTCTCTAGTGGCACATACTCGTAAAAAGGTGTAACAACCCAGCAACAGCAACAAACAGGTTAAGAGTCCTGTTGGCAACACAATAGAAAGTGGCACGCGGAGTCAAAGGTTACAAAACAGAAAAGAGAATAACGAAAAAAAAAATTACTTTAGGATGTAACTGATTTTTCAATCAAAGTGTTATTAAAAAAAAAAAAAAGAGGACAGCTATGGCTGAGAATCAACAAAAGAAGCAGCCCGATGACGATGATAGCGAAGATGAGGAGGCCATGATTCAGGCCATGCAGGAGCTGCTTAAAATACCGGACATAGATCCTGCGCAGGCCGGAACCGTGGCACCAAGGCCGCTTAGTCCGACATCGCGAGCAACCACAGTCCATGAGCCTCACAGCGAAACCGATGGGAGTGCGCCACAAACCAATACGGATTACGAGGAGAAACTGCATCGCATTTGGGAAGCCTCCAAGCCCAAGCGGAGGAGTGTGTTGCACACAATGAGCACGCAGACGAACGAGAAAGAAATGGATACAAAGTCCTTAAAGGTGCTGCCCAAGGAACTAAACCGGCAAAGCTCGGAAATGATAGAGCCGAGCAGCACCAAGTGCTGTGGGGTTGGCAATATATTGGGCTCGCCATTTTGCAGGATAATGAAAGCAACGCAACCACCTGAAAGGAAATTAGTTATAGACGAGTCGCATGAAGAAGCTGCCGGAAATGCGAATGAGGATAACAGAGGACGAGGAAGTGGCGAGCGAAAGTCAGAAGAGCCGCCACCTTCCGATCCGCCACCACCACCACCAGTGTCCAGATCATCCGATGTGCCCAATGAGAAAAAATCGGAGGTTAGTGAGCAGCGTACAGGGAAACAATTGAGACGCTCGGACTCAATGCGCACACTGACAATTGTGGGACACTCCCACATAACCACCTACCGGGATCATTGTCATAGGGATCAGACCAAGCAGGGCATGGACAAGACAGCGCGCAGAAAACTGATTGTTGCCTGTGTGCTGTGCCTTGTATTCATGATCATTGAGGTCATTGGTGGAATATTGTCTAAGAGCTTGGCCATAGCCGCCGATGCAGCGCATCTATTGAGCGACCTGGCTGCCTTCCTCATCTCGCTATTTGCGCTCTACGTGGGCGCCCGACCCTCCACACAGCGCATGAACTTCGGCTGGTACCGGGCCGAGGTAATTGGAGCCATGATCTCGGTTTATCTCATTTGGGTCATCACCCTCATACTCGTCTGGCTGGCCATACAACGCCTGTGGACGGGGGAACATGATGTGGATGCCATCATCATGCTGATTACTTCAGCATTGGGATTCCTCTTTAATCTCATTATGGCCATACAGCTGACCCACGGACACTCCCACAGTCACGGTCATTCGCATAAGCCTCGCAAGCCCAAAGTTCTGAAAATTGTCACCTCGGAGAAGACTCTGGTCAATGCACCGATGGATGCAACCAAACAGAATCTGATTACCAGCGTCTCCATGCACTTCGCCCACGGCCATTCCCATGGCAGTCCTAATGATAATATCAATGTTCGGGCTGCTATCATTCATGTCGTGGGCGATATGATCCAAAGCATAGGCATTTTCATCGCTGCTCTCATCATATTCTTCAAACCGGAATGGGCCTTTGTGGACTCCATCTGCACATTCATTTTCTCAATAATTGTGGTCGTAACGACCATTGCCATAATGCGGGACGTTCTGCTGGTGCTAATGGAGGCCACGCCCGATTATATGGACTACGAGGAGGTGCGACAAACTTTCATGCAAATCGAGGGCGTCGAGCATGTCCACAATTTACGCATCTGGGCCATAAGTGCCGACAGGGTGGCATTGTCAGCCCATTTGGCCATCTCGAAGACAGCCGATTCACAGGAAATTCTCGAAGAGGCCACCACACTAATACACAGAAAACACGATTTATTCGAGACGACCCTGCAAATCGAAGAATACAAGCCTGGCATGAAGACTTGCGACCAGTGTCTGAACCCAACGCGCCAATCCTAACCAGCATAATGGAATCTTGGATTTTATTTCGATGTCTTAGAATCTTAAGATTAAAGTACGATTTAAACTAGTGTTTTGTGTTAAACATTATTCGAGCTATAAATTCTTTATACAATTCTGCATTTATAACACCTTTTATGGGCTCTACATTTTCATTTATAAATACTTGGTTTGTAAGAGCAATCGATTCGGTAGCTCGCGATAAGAAATCAAGGTTTCCAAGGTTAAAATAAATGCAGTTCAAAAAATCAGTAACTAATTCCCTATGTGGCTATGAAAGAATTCCCCTCGAAAGTCAATATGTTTTTAGACTAGATACGATATTTGAGAACCATTTTGAAGATTTTTGCGGTGATACTGTATCAGATGTGAATAGAAAGTTTTATAAGCGTTTAATTGTATCTGCTTTGAATAAAACATTGCTTTTTAGAACTATTGACTAAAGATTCAAGTCCAGCCATAACGAAAGCACCTCCGTTAAATATAATTATTTCGAAACAAAGGTATTCTAAAGCTTCTTAGTTGTTCAGCGGTGTTGTCTCAGAATTTTATTATTATACAAATTAGTTAGTATAACATTCTTTGACTAATAAACCAACTATGTAATTCTACTATTTATAATTATATTTTAAAGCTCCGGCGACTCACAAGACAAGGGGTGTTCCTGTATTGTTATGACTGAGGCCTTTATTTTGGTTGTAATTTAGAGTATACGAGGTAGAGGGCCGTACAATCATATGTATAATGTACATATTGCTTTAATTTATTTATGAAAAATCGCTTTTTGAACATCTGTTTAGTAAGATATGTTCATACTCTTAACGCAGAGCTCAGACGTTCACTTACTTAAGACTTGGAAATTGTATTTTGGCCAAGAGCCAGTATTTCAAGATATTTATAAGACCAGTATATTTTTTATACAATTTACACAAATCAAGAAATTATATTTCCGAGCAGCCAACCACCGTTTTATCTCCGCAATAACGTCCAAATCGCATTGTAAATAATTAAGGCTTAATCTGTAACTAAGCTTATTTAAGGCTCGACTTTTTGACCTCAATTATAAAGCAGAATAACACGCTAACAACTCCACTCCCCGGGGAGTACATTCTCATTACTCGCCACCACTATGCCAATTGACACTTGGCATGTCTGCTGTCAACTTACTGCCAATTCGAGTGTCGTTTGGGTGGCTTGGGAGTTGGGGGGTTTGGGGCAACATCATCAAATTGCCAGTCATTAAGTCAGATTAAAGTGCTTGAAGCAAATTGGACGCAAAACCACTGATTTGGTCAGCAAGCCGCTTTCGAGAAAACTGAATTCTCTTTATATTTTTACAGATGGTCGCCATATTTCCCTACTTGGACACCACCTGGTGCATTGCAACCAAATGGACGCGTCACATGGGCTTCTGCATCACCTACACATCGTTGCTGATGAAAACATGGCGGTGAGTGAACGATAATTGTAAAACATTTGCTTATTTTGTAATAGAAGGAGAGATACGCTTTCTACCACCGCACTTAACTTAATTACTTACTCCCAACAAAAGCAAATGAAGGGTATTTCCAATAGCACAGCTGCAATTAAAAAAGTAGAGAATACCGCCCTTCTTCATTATATATATATATAAAAACATTAGCTTCTTTTCACATCCTCCCTAAAGGAACCGTTTTTAATAACAACAAAAAGAACAATTATTTAGGAACTTAAAAAACATATTTTTCCCGAAACGTTGAATTTAAACCCACAACAACGCCGTTGCTATAAAAACTTCGACCCTCAAATGGGGTTCTTAGAAAGAATTAAACAAAAAGTACAAAATTACAAAATACATCATCATTCTTTGTTTATGAAAATGAGCTATATTTGAGGAAACTTGTAACAAAAGCCTTTCCAAATGGAATATCCATTTGTAGTTCACTTTTTAGGCATCTTCTTTCAAAGAAATCTGTCTGAATAACATCGAAAAGATCACTTATTTAACAAGTTTAAGAAAACCTTATCCGTTTCGCAAATTGTTTAATTGGAACCCAAAATTACGCTGTTGGTGTAAAAACATTGACCCAGAATAAATTGAACAAAGAGTAAAAAATGTGAGAATTTAAATAAATAAAATTTAAATTTACTCTTATTTATGAATTTGAGCTACATTTGGGAATATTAACTTATAAGAAATGATAAGTATATCCATGTCTAGTCCCCTTTTTGAACATCCTCTTCGAAGAAACCTTTTTTAAAAACAACAAAAAAAACAATTATTGAACAATTAATGAAAAAACATCTATTTCCGGAAATGTTAAATGTTAAGTTTGAACCCTCAGAACAAGTTGAAGAAGAAGCACAAAATTTGGTTATTTGCTTCCATGAAAGATTATGTTTTATTCAATAGCACCCTTTCCGCTTCACATACACCTTTACAGCGTTTCCTTGACGTATCGCGTCAAGTCCGCACATAAAGTCAAATTAACCGATCAGCAGCTGCTCCAATGGATGGTGCCGATTCTATTGGTAATGCTCATCTATTTGGGCACCTGGACCATTTCGGCCACACCCTTTGCACAGGTGGTAAGTATTCCATAAAAACTAAAGATATAATGTGCAATGAAACTAACTATATTTTCATTGGGCAGATCTATGATCAGAATGGCTTAAAGTTTAAGCAGTGCTCCTATAATTGGTGGGATCACAGCCTGGCCATTGGAGAGGTCCTGTTCTTGGCCTGGGGTATACGCGTCTGCTACAATGTGCGCAATGCGGAGAGTTTGTACAATGAGGCGCGCCTGATTTCGTATGCCATCTACAATATTGCCATTGTAAACATTGCCATGGTGGCGTTCCAGTAAGTGCGGACCATCATCCACCTGTCGCTCACCCACCTAGCAAGCATTCATGCATTCCCTTCCCCAACACCCACACACCCCCAATACACCCATTCACCCACAATTTAATTATATGTGGCGGGTGACACACATTCGCGTTGATGTGTTTGGTTGCCTAGCCGGGTAATACAACATGCTTTTCGCTGGCCTCCACATCCAAGCCCAGTGGCGTAGTCAGCGAAGCAGTTGGGGAGAAAAATAAATATTAATAGTTGGTTAAAGTTTAGCAGAAGAGTATAAAGAGATCTTTAACTTAAGCATTGAACTTAAGCACTTTCGTTGTCGATTTTCTTAATCCTGACGGACTAAATAAATAAAATAGTTCGTTTTTAAACAAATTCAGCCCATAAATGGGGTAAAAAGGCGCTCATAGTTTATAAACCTTTCAAAAGATTATCTCCTATAACTGACTATGATTTTCTTATGCATTTTTTATATATTAACTGTTATGGAGGAAAATAGATAATTAGTTTGGAAAAACTAATGTCAGGTTTCTAAATGAACAGGAAAATATATTTAAGTAGCTTCTATCTATGGAAACTGAAAATAATTCAATCTTCAATAACTTTTGAAACTCAAAAGTTTTCTTAGTTTAAATAAAAGTTTATTATTAGTTGTTATTATGATTTATTTTATAGGCATTAAAATCATCATCCATTGATTCCACTATTTTATAGCTGAAACATTTTGTTATATCAAATTTTTTTGTCTGTTTGAAATATTTTGTATTTATCTAACTAAAAGATAATGCCACCATCTATGAAAACAGTTTCAAAAAGTTTTTATTTCATTTCCAAATAATTGAAAATTCGCATTTTTGAGAGCCATCGTCCTTCCCTAGCTTTCTCTCTCCCTTCTCTGTTCCTAGAACCCCACAAGCCACGCATGTTGAGGGCGTTTTGAGCTTTTTTAATTAAATTCCTACGCTTTATGCGCGCTCTCGTTCGCGCTGTAATCCTTTTTTGTCGGTCTGCCTAAATGCCTCGTCGAGCTTGTCTGCCTCTCGCCATATCGTTTATATAGAAATTCAAAGGCATTTCTTTCTCAAGTTCATATCCTGCCAGGCAGGCAGGCAGGCAGGCAGGCAGGCAGGCATGTCTGTCCATCTCTCTGCCTGTCTGTCTTTCTGTTGTTCTCAAGTTGTCGGTTGTCTGCTGTTTGTTGTTTATATTGTTCGGCGTGCGGGTATTTCCTTCAAATTGAAATCCCTTTTAAAAGTGTTGATAATTAATGCAATTTGTTCGTAAACTTGTTTCTATGTGTACAACACAATTGTTGCTAAACGTGTTATTTGCTTTGACTTTTCACAGTCCTGAATTCGTTTGTGACCCCAGTTCCAGCTCTCCCTTTAGTTAGGGACTAGAATTGAATTATTCTAGTGACTTTGTTTACAACATTAAGTGCCCGAAAAATGTACATCTTTGAGTCTTAAATTACTTACATACCTATATTTTAGACTGATAGACTTGCTATACTCGTACTTATTAAATAATGCCGATATTCTTGAAACAATATCTCAGATCATATTCCGTGAAGACACTGTGCTTTAAGTGATATTCTGAACAACTTAAGTCGCTAATTCGATCGGTATTGGTGGTTTCAATTAATAATTAAGTTTATTTGACAAATTTAACCCATAACTGGGTTGAAATGCGTGTTGAATTTTATAGCCATCAATCATTTTTACAACTTTTATTAAATTTGAAGCAAATTTTATATTTAAAGCTATGGAAGTGAGCTTCTTTAGGCAACTAATATACATACATGCGGGAATTCTTACAGTTTTCGATATTTGATAAATGCGATATCTCAGTTCAAATCTGTTTCGAATCTGTTGTTCAATTAAAATTATAAACTGTGACAGCCGCTTATTCGATTTGTTCTGCCAGAGAACCAATTTAAAAATCATCAGACCGTAATATTTTAAAACCTACGATCTAAAGACGGAGCAAAACAAAAAACACACACATCGAAATGTTCCTCAAAGTCTCATTTTTATCCAGCTAGAATCATCCTTTTCCCTTTCAAAACTTTAAAGCAGTCTAGACACACTTTTCTTCAAAAATCTCAAAAACCTCTCCTCTATTCCAATCCTGCCTTTCCTTCAACCTAACAATTTCCCTTCTGGAAATATACAGCTTTTTACTAATTAATACTCTTCATTTGTGCAGCGTCATGCTCTTTCCGAACGCCGGACCCGATTATAAATACATGTTGGGTTTCGTGCGCACCCAACTCTCGACGACCACAACCATTGCGTTGGTCTTTGGTCCGAAAATTGCTCGCGTTTTTAAGGGTCAGGGGGACAAATGGGATCAGAAGGCCAAAGTGCGCAGCATAACCGCCTCCTTTTCGCTAAATGGTGTGGGCCTGGTGCCCGAGGAGTCGCCGGACTTGTATCAGGAGAATGAGGAGCTGAAGGTAAGCTTTTCGAGTGCTTAGACTGATGGAAGCATGGAATGAATGTCTTTTTTTTTTTAACAATAAAAAGGAACAAATCCAAAAGCTGGCGCATCAAATTGAATTTATGAAGACTGTGCACATGCAGATGAATAATCGTCATTTGAAACCGAAGCCGGGCGGCTATTTCACCATAACGTCGACCTCATTTCAAGCGCCCTACAGCAAGAATCAAGTTTCCACGGCGCAAACGCAAACGGGCAAAGAGGAGGCGGGCGGGTGAGTCTCTCAAACATTATCGCGAAAGAAAACTCTATAATTTGGATATAATATGATTTGCAGCTTGACCGGCAACGCGACGCCCTCGAAATGCAAGTCGCCGAAGGGTAAGGTCTGACGCGGTCAACGAAGTGTTAAAGATTGCTCAATAGAAGTTGTTGATGTGAACGAAGACGCAGTTGTGGACGAGGAGGTGGATTTTTATTTAAGACAAGCACAGCAGGAGCCGCAGGATCAAACAGAGAACTACGACGAGGCGGCCCTATTGCGTCAATTCCGACGCTTTTTTGCGCCCATTCTCAACGATAGTCTAGAGCTGTATTATGCGCTGAATGATCAGCAGGAGGAGGACGTGGAACACATACGCATTCACCAAACGGTCGCTGAACTGCACGAACTAACCAGCTCGGAGGAGGACACCGTTGTGACCATAGTCGGCACAATATCGCCGCCAACACCACCGATCGCTACCACCATCACCATCACCACCACCACCACCAGCGATGTGCCACCCTCCACGCCCAGCTCGGCGACATCGAGCAGCTCGCTCTATGCCATATTCACGCCCTCCCCCCAGCCGGCCCACGACCATGGTGGACTCCTGTTGCTGCCGCAGCGACTGGAGTCCCCGCTGAGTGACAGCGAGCCGAGAACTTTGACGGAATATGTGCAATGCCACGGCATCCCGGGCAACAACAATGGCGAGGATGTGGACGAGCCGATCAGCGGCAATAACAACAACACCTCCTGCTCGCTGTCCTCCACACTCACGGACAGCAAAACCTTGGATGCTCGCACTCCAATCGTCGTCTGAGTCTCAGTTCAGAATGAAATGCGCTCTAAAGTGTTAGCTCTGTGTTTGCTTACAATGTGATTATTTTTGTTTTTGAAACATTTCCAACAGCAACAGCAAAACAACAACAACAACCAACATACTGTTTAATCTTAGTCTTAATCATATTTGTGTGTGCGTGTGTATGTGTTTGTCTGTGTTCCGAAAACAACCAAACATTTGACTCAACAGACTGCGTTTATGCGTCGTCATAAATTCGAAAGCACTCTAAGAATTTGAGGAACTGACTAAACAATAATCCACAATTAATAATTACGAAAATTATTTGGATATGCAAGAGTTTGGAAAAAAATAACACTTTGGAATAATTTCAAAAATTGGCCAAAACAAAAGAAATGCTTTCAAAAAAGCAGCTCTTGGAAAAGGAATTCCCTCCAGTTCCATCCAATACGAGTACTAAACAAAATCTAAGTGGCTGCTACTCCTGGCTTGGACACCATTTGAGCCATTTGGGCGATCTTAACTTATAGCATTGTTTTACCTAAGCCATTGCGTTTAATCGCTCCAATATGTTATTTTGCATTAATTCGTAAAATCTAGAATTGATTGAAAACTGTTTCATGATCAGTTCTAAGTTCACAATGTTTTGGAATTTTTTTTAGAACAGGTCTACTTATTCTTAGTACTACCTTCAAGTCGAAATTTCCGTAACGAACACGTTGAAGTCCAAATTGCTGAGACAGTAGCAGTGCCAGAAAATTGTTTACATTTTCAGCCTCAGTTACATTTTATACAGAAAATTGTTTCTTTCTTTCGTTCTTTTCATCTTTCTTGATAAACCGAAGAATTGTGAAGTCCCCCCTATCCAGTCAGCTCTAGCATAAATTGTTGTGATCAGCTAAAAAATTTGGATTAACCAAATTATCTAAGTCAGTATTTTAAATGCTGACTAAAACCAACTCAAATTCAAGCTAATTGTTCAGTTGCTCTACAATATAGTAGCATTCAAATAAATTTCACCCCAAAACGAGTATAAATAGTCAGTTTTTCAAATTCTTCTTTCATTTAGCCTTATTTTCAAAAAATTAATTTTCAACCGAGGTGCAATTCTTCTCTCGCTTTGAACTACTTGTAGTTCTCTCGCATAAACGCAGTCTACGTTTGTATTATTTGAACATTTCCATTTGAGTTTGCTTCTTAAACATACATACCGATCAGTATTATTTCAATCAGATACTCACTCCCTCTCTCTCTCTCTATTCTTTAACATGCGCATCAAAAACATTGAGCAATATTTTTCACTTCGTTCGGATATAAAAACTAGCCCTATGCGAAGGGCTTAAAATTTTGAATAGCCCTACATATTGCACTCAACTGGCATGTCTAACGTGCCGTTGGGTCCAAGTGGGGGCCTCACATTTTCTTCTAGACACATTTATCAGGCACCTAAATGTAACATTTGTTTCGCACTCAATCGTCACTCACTCACGATTTTGGTTTGTAGCGCTCGATTAGTTTTGTAGCTCTGTTTTGTATAGTCCGATTTGATTTTTACATATTTATATATATACTATACATATATATGCTATATCGTACATATAATATGGCTAATGAATAATGATAAGCTAGCAAAGAGTCGATTTTAGAGTAACGGTACAAAAAACAAAAACGCAAAAACAAAGCAAAAATAAGGAAATCTTTGAATTTTAGCATTAAATCTCAAAAACGTTAACAGAAAAGATTCAAAAAGTTGGCTGCAATTTCGGTTCGACAGTTCGGCATTAAATACAAATTATAAACAACATGATAATAAATTAAGTTTACTGTTTAAACATAAATAAATAAAATCAAAAATAAATGTTACAATTAATGAAATACAAAGTAAAAGAAATTTGATTTTATTTCAGTTTTCGAAAGCAATTTTAGCGACTATATAAGTATGGAATTATGAACTATGTATCAAAAATCTGTTCATCTGTTTGAATTACAATATTACATAGTTTCCAGTTATTGAAGGGAAATCCAGGAGAGTTCCGAAGAAGCTGAAGACGATTTTACAAACCGTTTTTGAAAAGAATTGGAAGAATATTTGGAAATCTTCTCTTGAGAATTGTCAGGAACCAGTTTATGTTTTGGATCTGAATTGAACCTCTTGTATTCTGTACTAGCAACGTCAAGTTGAGGGAATTAGTTTCCGGTTCAGAAACATTACTGCAATGGATCCCAGTTTTCAAACACAGGTTCGATGTCGAACTGTTTCAGAAATCGGAATCGACATGTTCGTAGTGTCTAATACTTTAACAAATGATGGTGACGAATCAAGCTAATTGCTTGCACTGGAGACTAAGTACTTCGAAAGGAATACAATTAATATCAAAGAATCGAACCATTTACTGTTTGCTAACATACTTGTAGTATTACGAGTTTTGATCATAAGGTATACTCAAATAGAAGCTGTATTTTCGTTCAATCTCTATTTCTTTATCCCAACTCCCTTTTGGTTCGGGTCCTTAAAACTGTTTTTCAATTCAAAAAGTTCACTCTTTATAGCTCATACAAATAACCTAATAGCTCCATTTCCCCCCACACACAACTTATCTACAAAAATTCCACCCCCATTCTTTTCAAAATCATTTCAAAAATGTATTTCATTTTACGTAACTTTTGTAAATCTGCTCACAATACATCCCACACTTAGCGTACAGAGTTCAAATTTTTAGGTATAGCTCTGATCAAAATTAGGAGGACAACGAGTAGCGCGCGTCAGAATGTTGAGCTGCTGTACTGGTCCGCCGCCAGCACCGCCCAAGGACAAGAGAATCCGCATAGAGCAGCTGCTGGACGAAGATTTCGATTGCATGCGTCGCATGGCGCAGGGAATTTGTCAGACACTCGGTCGCCCCAAGGATCGCGAGGTCTGTCGCAGCACACTCGACGAATTGATGAAATTCAATCAGGTGGACTCCTTGGAGGTCAAACAGAACGTACACAAATTCATGAGATTCTATCTGAAGGTGCTGCGCTGGACACAAAAACATCAGCCGGCAGAGTACCAGCAGTGGGTGAGTTGCCAGTCGCTAGGAATTATAATTATAGATTGATATAGAATTAATATGCCCCGATTCCTCGCTAGTATGGCAATGCGTTTAATAGCACACGCGACAACACCATGTCCAGCAACTTCAGCATGTTGCAGGGCAGCGCAGTTCAGGGTGAGGTTGGCGCTTTGGGTGATATGCGCGTCTGGCTGGAGGAGGCCGGCTCGTATTTGGCCATGAAATCGTTCGAGGATGGCTCGACAATTATTTATGCTGCTGTGGCGAAAGATCCAAATGCTGGCTGGGCGGACAACGGGCTAAAGGCGCTGACTCAGCGTCAATGTGGGGGAGAGCGAGATAATGCCTAAGGCCATATGATTGGATTATACAATTGACTCTATATATTTAGGCTTTTCAAATATACAAAATGTGTTTCGATTGATTCGATTGGTACGGTGTATAACTTTCTCTAGCTTAACGTAACAAAAAGTGTGTTTTAAATTGGATGGAATCATTATACAATCGACTCTATATCTTTAGGCTTTGCAAATATACAAAATGTGTTTCGATTGGTTCGGTGTATAACTTCCTCTAGCTTAACGTAACAAAAAGTGTGTTTTTTAAATTGGACGGAATCGTTACGGGTTCGACTTTGTGCTTACAAACTAATTGCAAACTGAGGAGATTCTAAAATACCTGCATAATCTTATACAGTCGCGGAGTGAAAGGCACTTTTTGTATGGAATGTAACTTATTAAATGCACATTTGTGCCTGTTCTATGCTCTCACAATTGCCGCTGCGCCTGCCAGCAGCATTATGCTGAGTACAGCCTGCAGCGTCTTGTGCATGCCTAGCACTGCGGCGGCATTGCAGCTGTCGCTGGAACAATAGCACTCCTCCCAGTAAACGCCATTCTCGTAGACGCCCCAATTACAGACGCCCGTCACGCCCGTATCGGCAACGGAGGCGCAGCGACGTATGACCTGACGCCAGCGCCCATCCCCTATAATTAACAAACCACACATTAGTTAATAATAGTACAATCACCTCCGGCTACCTACAAATGAAGCCACGCGGTCCTTGCTGCACCACTTTCATGCAAAAGGAGCCTGGCATGTGGGATTCGTCGCTGTTGCATTCTATGGAGATGTGCTCGGTGCGATTGAAGGGTTTGTAGGCGCCGCAGCTGTCATAGCCTTTCCGGTCCTGGTCCGACGAGCACTGATAGCAGCGTATGGCCCAGCTACCTATAAGTCAAACCAGATGTAATGAGTAATTGACGCAAATTGATAAACAAAAGTCTGGCTTGAGGCCACACCCAAGCTGAGGAAAAATTGAAAGAGAATCGCATCGTAAGCTTACCACAAATGCTTAGGGTGAGCAGTAAGAAGGCCCAGCGTGTGAAGGTGGTCATATTTAGTCACTTAAATAATTCTGCTGCGCTTATAAACTAAACTAAAACTGCTTTAAAACAAAATAATGCGTTGGTATGTAAATATGTTGCAGTGTGACCGTATCAGGTCGAACAGAAAATCTATGCAACTGTGAGCGCAAACAGCCACGTTGAATATCATTTAGCTTTAAATCGGATAGGAGCGTATTATCATTGTACACACCACACCAGCAGTAAGTTCACCAACAATGGTGGCCACTTTTAAATATTACACTTAAACTACTGACGGCGACATTTTTCATCAATAACTAGGGAGTATTGCGAAAATTTAAAAGTTTTATTATAACGGAGACGTGAAAATTGAAAATCAATTATATTTATAACATATTTACAAATTTACATATTATTGGGTATCCTGTGCAAACCTTAAGCAGTTTTTCATACTAAAAGCGAGAATAAAATGTAATTAAGTTGCACATAATATGATTTGAAACTATCATACAAATAAAATTTAAAACTTTGCATGGTACTTATTAGACTAACAAATAATTACAAAAATTCTAACAAGTTCATTTCAATGTGACCGCACCATGTGATGAAATACCAACAACGAGCTAGAGTCGCATAGCAGTCAGCATTTGGCTGGCCAACAGCGCATCATAATTTTAGGGCGGTGCTCGTGTTTTGTTGTTTTTCATTAATTTACTGCATTTTCCGCTGAAATTTGTTAAAATAACTCTTTAATTCTGCACAACAGACACAAGCAACATGCGAGCAATTGAGAAATTAGCGATTGCTGCGGCTCTGCTATGCTGCATGCTGCAAACAGGTAAGACGCCAGCGTTTACGTTTGCATGTTAAGGAAAACAAACAAGCGAACCCAAATAATTAAATATTTTTCCAACTTGTGCACAGCTTATGCCATCAAGTGCTGGGACTGTCGCTCCGACAACGATCCCAAGTGCGGCGATCCCTTCGACAACAGCACACTCGCCATCACGGATTGCCAGCAGGCGCCCGAGCTTGAACACCTGAAGGGGGTGCGGCCGACCATGTGCCGTAAGATTCGGCAGAAGGTGCATGGAGAGTGGCGTTACTTCCGGAGCTGCGCCTACATGGGGGAGCCGGGCATCGAGGGCGATGAGCGCTTCTGCCTGATGCGGACCGGCAGCTACAACATTTTCATGGAATACTGCACCTGCAACAGCAAGGATGGCTGCAATGGCGCCAATGGGCGTGGCGGGAGCGCCGGGAGCGTTTTGCTGGCCACCTTCGCCGTCGGCCTGGTGGCGCATTTCTTGAGGCAGTAGCAAAAATTGCCACATTTATGGTGTTGGCTTCTAACTAATAGTGCCTTCTGCTCGGCCGACACACATTGTTCGACCGAATCGAATCTAAACTAAAAACTTAACACTCGGAACGCAACTCCATCCATTTTATCTCAATCTCTAAGCACATTCCGCATAGTTTAAGCAAACTGCTCCAATATTTCTCTGTCCATATCTATTTTGTATACAGTTTTACAATGTTTAGAATTAAGTAAAAAAGTTTACAAATTTTATTGTAATGCCGTAGTAGAACATTTCTGTCGAAGAATAAACAAATTATACACATATACAAGAGTTTTTACTGCTCCGATCAATGCATAGCTTAATCTGTGCAAGTAGAAAGGCGTACTTTGCGGTGCCTTGAAGAAATGAGAACAAATTGGAGTTAATTCTTCAGATAATTAAAAATGCAAATTTTGTAGTCAGCAAAAGAATTATATTGTGTTTTAAGGTCAGTCTGTCTAAATTTGTTATTTATTTATGCAAAGCTTCAAACTTCTACCAAATTCTTATTTATAACATTTTATCAAGATATTTCATTTAAATCATTGATGAGTCCATTCTGCAATTGTAGGGTGTAAAGTCGTAGTGATTTGAAAACAAATGCTTTTTGTACATTTATATATTCAAATATATTAATATATCATTAATTGAACCTCATATGCATTGTTAAGCAATTTATTAATAAATTTTAAATGATAAATTAACTTAAGACAACAAACTATTTCATTACCAGACATTTTAAATTAGCGCCTTACGTGTGGCAACACTGCAAGCCTATCGATTAATGCAACGCAGGTGTAATCGAATACAGCTGTTCAATTCATCGACGCTAATAAGCGGCTGGAAAAAGGTAAGTTAGCTATTTTCTCTCTTTTTATTGTTATAACTGAAGTGCTTCTTTGTTATTTTTATTAATAGAAGAAATTAAGTAATAGAACCCTCCTGACGCGCAGATGCAACAACCAACGGCAACAACAGCACCCAATACTGGCGGAGCATCGAGCAATGAGCCTGCGCTCCGCGCTTGCAACACCGCGGGCTGCAAAGTGGAGAAATACGTGGAAGTGACAAAACGAAAATGTTCGCAGTTTGTGTCAGCACCCTACGTAATGCCGAAGCCGCTTGTAGTGAACGGCAGGACGGCTATATTCCAGGTGGGCGGTGAAATGGCCAAAATGGGCGACATACCTAGTCTATCTGGCGTGAGTGGCGGCGACGGAAGTGGCCAACCCATCTATCGGATCAAGCCAGGTACACACGCACACATAATTAACTACGTGCTGGTCGATGAGGGCTCCGAGTCCATGGAAAAGGCCAATTCAGGCGACCAGGAGGCTTTGCGCATGATGCTCGATGCACAGCGAGAGAGTGCGAGTACCAAGCTTCAAAGATTGGTGACTAGCCATCGTGGCATTGCTACGACTACTTCAAACCCTGCCGTCCCCACCTCCGTACCTAATCCAAATACTGCATCAGCACTTTCCGCAGATACGACTTCACCATTGGTGAGTGCAGCACGCCGACCGGCTGCGACGCCAACTACAGTCGCTCCAAATTCTACAAACACTCACGTATCCACGCCACAGATCCATCCAGACTTCTCCATCGCAAACGTGGAAGGCGCTGTGCCATTCGTGGCAGCACCTAACGCACTCCCAGGGGCGACTGTGAACAAACAGAACAAGCCACCGGAAGTCGTCAACAGCCCCATTGCTGTTAACCAACTGCAGGCCGAGATACTAGAGCTGCGGCGCACCGTCGCACGCCTCGAGGAGGGGGCACATCGATAATAGTTTTTGTAATTTATATTTATTTATAGTTAAATGCAATGGACGCCTTTCAGATGGACACATAATATAATATACAAGATATCGTATAAAGCAAATAAATAATGACATTGTTCGTAGAAATTGATAGAAACAATTGGACTTTAATTTATTGTGGTCTCCCTGAAGAATATGTTTGCTGAGATCGGCACAAGGTGCTGAGTGGATTTCAAAACTAATCTTTTGCTTTTTACGAGACTTTAAAGCGAATGACCTGATTTGAGGCCAGTTCTTCTATAATAAAAGGTATTTTTCTAAAATTGTTATAAAACGCAAATGATGTTCCAATATTTTAGTTAAAAAGCGAACGTATATCAGAAAGTTGTCACAGGGACGATGTTTTTATGCTATTTAAAGGATATACAGGCTATAAGGTCTAGTGGCGTTATGTAAACATGGTATATAAGGTTTGTAAAAAGTATGTAACCTGAAGAAAGAAGCATCTCTGATCCCATAAAGTATATACACTGAAAAACCCTCATTGGGGACCTCTTTTATCCAGACACTCCTTTTAGGCGAACACTTTACAAGCTTCAAAATATAGTTATATGTACTTATGTTTATGTACTATATGTATACATATATGTATATACATACATAAATATTACGTATAGCTAATTAATGAATTTGCATCTTCATTTTCATTATACTAAAAAATGTAACAGGCAGAAGAAGGCGTGGCAGACTCCACAAAGTATATAAATATGTTCTTGATCAGCACGAGTCGATCTATGCCTGTCTGTATGTCCGTCTGAACACCTGGATCTCAGAGACTATAAGAGCTAGAGACACCAAATTTTGCAGAAATATGCCTTATGTGTGTACGCTATACGAGTTTATTTTATATTGTGATTCTCCGATAATAGCTTTTTTCCGCAACGCCTATATATTCACCTATGTATATCTCGGAGACTATAAAACCTAGGGTCACAAAAATTTAGATAAATACGCAGAAAATTATAATTTTGGATATTCCCTCCCTCCCCTCTCACCAACGCAATTCGTTATTATCCATAACTCCCGTAATTCTTGACTCAAATTTTGCAAATACCTCCAGTTAGTGATTATTTGTCCGTATGTCAAGTTTCATTATGAGCGACGGCCTTTGGTTCTAATAGGACAAATATGAAGCTTTGACTGCTTTATAATACCAAAAATCAAATGAATTAGCCACCGCAATTACTAGACCCGATCCGAAATGAGCATCTATAGTATGCAATTTTCTGGAACGTCCGGGTCTTCTAGTAATATTACATATTAATTTGTGTTGAAATTTTTTGAAGTCGCTTTTTTTTGTTGTTAAAAGTGTTTTTTATTAAACAAAAATTAGTTCAATTAACTCCAAAGTGATTACTAGACTAACGGTATTCTAATTTTTTAATTGTTATTATCAAAAAAACCTTTTTCATTGCTTCCTAGTTTTTTGTACGCATACTTTTTCTAGTTCAAAACTCGCCCTTTTTATACAAAAATTAGTCAAATTAATTCCGAAGTGATTTTTAGACTAACTGCATACTAATTTTTCAATTGTTATTAAAAAAAAAACGCTTTTAATTGATTCCTAGTTTATTGTGCGCATACTTTTTGTACTTACTTTGATGTAAGCCCGCCCTTGCTAGATTTTTAGTTGTATTGCGGTTATTTAATAACTTAGATGAATACAAAATGCACCAAAACAAAGCTAACAAAGTGTTTTATTAAAAACACCGTGGTAATATCTTCTCTATATCATCTGTTTCTAGATCGACAAAGTTACTAATTGAGCTTGCACGCATAGTTTTTCTGGTAAGTGTAATATCTGCATATCGATATAGCCATTTACGATCAATATGATATCGAAAGTCAAAAGATTATCAAATAGTTTAATGCACAACCAACTAATCTAGCTTAAAAAATGCTTAAGACTGTTACTTTTATTTGTTGCTTTTCTAACAAAATATTATGCAGATTGTACCACCGATAATTAATTACTCCGGTTACGCATCAACGACTATTCACAGCGGGTAACGAATAATTTGAACCGTTGCGGTGCGCTGCCGTTCTTCTTCGCCATCTTTTTCTCTTCCCTTTTCTTCGTGTCCTTCATATGTTCGTGTTGCGGGTCCGCGTTCTGCAATTTTAATTTGTTTCGTTTGCGTTGTAACGTGGCAGTGAGTCCAAAAAAATTGTATGCCAAGGCATTTTTAACTAAAATTGACATTGTTTGTTGTTTAAAATGAAGTGCGCGTGCAAATTTTAAACTATTAATCTGTCTATAACATTTGTCCGGCGAGGCCAAAGTGGATGCCGTTATATATTTCGGCAGTGTTACCCCATTTTTTGTTTTAAATATTTTGTTTGTCCAATTTTTTTTTCTGCTTTTGTGCTTTGTGAAATTAGCTATAAAAAGATTTGTGTTTACTTAAACAAATTAATATGTTTAATGCTAATATGGAATTGAATGATCCGCTTCTACGGTATTGGTTCTCTCAGGGCATGCAGTCCCCTTACAAGTGAGTGCATATTTTGTTGTTGCATTATCTTTCTCTTACAGCTTTATTTAAAAAAACCAATCACATCAACAAATTGAAATTTAGTTAACATAGATTTTACATAATTTTTAGTTTGTACATACATAGTTAATATTATTTGTTGTTCTCATTATGCTTTTTTGACAACCATTTTTACAAAGTCATTTGCATGGCGAACACTGCCAGCAGTGCTGCGAAGCCGACGGCCATGAAACGCGCAGCGCCAGAAGCGTTGCACAGATCCCCCTTGCACGTGTAGCAGCTCTCCACTTGCCGGCTGTGCGTTACCGTGCAAACATTGTCCTTCTGTCCGACAGTCTCGAAGTGGCAGTCCCGCGAAACGATGACGCCGGCGCGATCTGTGTGTGTGAGATGGAAAATGAGAGGAGCTTAGTACTTATTGTTGTTGTTGTTGCGTGAAACATTTCGACTAAATTTTGCGTGTTCGGCATACAGTGGTTCACGGATTATTTAATCTGATACGAATTTAAAGTTGAGCTTATCATGTTAGATGAAATGTATAAATAAATTTAAACTATTTTAAGCTGCATAGAAAAAAGTATTAACGTAAAGTATTTTAAATAAATACGAAAACCTTAGTTAATAGATAGTGATTAAATTTTTTTTAAACAAGTTTAAAAAGTGTTTTAGTCAACATATTGAGGTAGCATTCAATATAAAAACAGGAAAGGAATGCTAAAGTCGAGCAGGCTCAACTCTTAAATACCCTGTACCACCCCACAAAAAAGTAATTAAATTAATTAATTAATTTAATTAAATTAATTAACTAAATTAATTTAATTAATTAACTAAATATTAACTAATTAAATATAAAATATTCCATGCATGCATACATACATTTACAATTACATCAGAATCGTGTCTATGCGTGTTTGTGTACTTGTACATATGTATGTATGTGTGCATTGAGCCTGGTTATATGGCTATAACTTTCTTTCCGATCATTCTATCATAATGAGACTTGGTATACGGTTATATAATTACTAACCTAATGTGACTACCAAATTTTAGTTCAAAATTCCAAGAATTACGGGAGTTATAGAAAATCGTTAATAGGGGGGGAGTGGGGGAGTGGATCAGAAAAAATGAACAAACTCGTCCTTTCTCGGTCTCAGGAGAATCTGTATACCAAGTTTGGTTATTCTAGCTCTTATACTTTCGGAGATCCTTGCGTTCATACAGACAGACAGACAGACGGACAGACGGACATGGCTATATCGACTCGGCTTGTCGTGCTGATCAAGAATATATATACTTTGTGGGGTCTACCAAGCCTCCTTCTGTGTGTTCCATGTGCACTCGCACTAAACTAATATACCCTTGTACCCTTTGGGTACAGGGTATAAAAACAGCTTTGGGTTAATGACACATTATATTCGCAGGAAAATGTACAAATATAAATAGCAGGTACATAGTTAGACTGTGTCGAGAAATTCTAAAGTATCTAAAGTAATAGCGTCACTGAAATGTTTTGTATTAATAGCGCCTGCTTTTTTTTTATTAAATCGCAAAAATAACTGGTAAATAATATGAATAAATCAGGAATGGGTGCTTCATTGGCTTTGGTTGAGTGCACAATCATATTTGGCGCCCCTGTTAATATAAAACCTTTCCAGGTTTATATATAAAAAGTATGAAAAATTCACTTAAATGTTGAATTATATTATTAATAGTAATTTTGCACCCTTTTTTCGTGTTCTTTAATAGTACATTTGAATAAGTTCTTTTATTAACATTGAGAGAACCTATATACGAGTATTAGTTCAATATAGAACTTGTCTACCAATACGTATAAATCTTTGAGTCACAGGAGGTCTTTATTGTGAACTAAGTAGAAGAATGACTCACTTTTCTCTTCACAAATCGAAATGAATTTCTTTTAAGCACAAGAAAAAATGATTTAAATAATTTTACCAACCACAAACAGCTAAATATTGAATTCATTTTCCTTTTGAAATATTAAACAATATGATTTAATTTGTGGATTTTTGTTCATAACTCGATTGCAATTTAGCGTCGCAAAGTCAAATGTTATTGCTCTCAATTCTGTAATAATTTTATTAACACATTAAAAGCACAATGTAGATATTTTTGTTTTTATATTTCTGATGCGACTCATCAGAACTTAATTAAAAATTGATTAAATGCTAAAAAAACATGCATGTTTGCCAAATTACATTATTCTTTCCATACAGATATTTAGTCGAAAATCATGCGTTGTTTTTAATTTTATTTATGTTAATTGGCATTGGACTCTGATTATAGAAACACACTCGCACGCATGTACAAGCATGACATCACTTTATTGAATTGTTTATGATTCGATCGCTTGTTTATTTGGTTTTTGTTTTCTGGAAGGTGTGTGCGTAATAAAATTCAAATGCAAATCACACACACCACCCACTATCCAAAATCCACCGTCCAGCACCCACTTTCACTTACCACTAGTGACCACTTTGTTGCATTTGGTGACAGCCTGCAGTTGCTCCATTGTGTTCGGCTTCGCCACATTATCGCAATCCACCTGCCGGATGTTCGAGTTGCCATCGATGTTGTCTTTGGCGCAATTTGGATCCGTTAGGGACTTGCATTGGTAGCATTTGATGGCCGTAGCTGCAAATGGAGAAGTTACATTTGTTTATTAAACGAGCTCTCAACTCAATTAGCAGAAGGTGGAAGAGTTCTCTTGTTTGCATATTTTTTCTCTCGGCTCAAGTGACAATAAACTTGAGCAGAAATAGTAAGTTGCTAGACTTTGGAAATGTCGTCGACAAGGTTGTTGTTTGTAAATGAGATTCAAATTTACTCGCGCTATATAACCAGTTTTTGCGTTGTTCCCAAAGCTATAGTTATTATGTAACGCCTCTACACTATATAAATTGTCTTAAGTAGCGGTTATCCATACACACAATATTTTTGCTATGAAGTCAGCTTTAAATATAATTGCGTTAAGAAACAAGCAAATATGCATGAGAAATTACTAAGTACGTGCTTATTTTGGATTTATTCTTGCTTATTGTTGTTTTTCGTGTGGGAATTCGAATAATATTTGTTTATTAAATGAATTTGAATGTTTTAATGAAAGAATTGTCACCTTTCTTATAACCACACATATTTACTCACATATAGAATGTTTATCTGTGTTCATTTGTGTAGCTGCAGTTTTTCTTTTCCACAGTAAAGTTATTAGAAATGCGACCCTAATAGCAAATACAAATGCAAAAGTTAGAGAGCATGCTTCAGTCGGAATTAAATAGCTCTTCTAGAATATTTTATCCATAAAGATTTCCCGCCCCGCTCGAATTTGATTTTATAAAAAAGTAATATATTCTTGCCAACCTATCGCCTACATTTTTTGAATAGATTTTGGTGCAGGAAACTTTTGCTGAATTTATTGTTGAAAATGTTTAAAAAGTTACATTGTTCCAAAACGATCATGAAATCGAAACTCAAAATATATCCACAAAATATTTAATTTATTTTGTTCGCTGCTGCGAAATTATTGTCTTAACTATTAAGCTTGTCTGTCTTAAAAGGTTAAATGACGGCACACTTTTTTTTAATTAAACACAAACTGTATATATTTTCACTGAAGTTCCATTTTCTTTACATATCTTCATGGCATTTAGTCTTAATATTTGATATATTTACAGACACACACACATATATATTGCAAACGTGTTCTAATTGTTCAGAGTTGTTTCCAAAAACAAAACCAGTTGTGTTGCAACTTATGTAAAACTTTTGGCTTTATTTTGAATATTTTGTATTATTTGTTAGGCGATTATTAAAACTTACCACTATGCATAAAGCACAGCAGAGAAATTAACAAAATGGCACACATTTGTTTCAACATATTGACTGAAAATATTGAATTTGAAAAATATAATTGTCGAGCAAAAATCTGTCAATGCACTCTCAAACGCTGCCGTTGAATAACTAAAAAAACATATACAAATGTTTTAGCAGCAGCTTACATCAAGTGAGCGAAAGCTTTTTTTTAAATTGTTTAAATAAAAACAGCTTTGAGTGCTTAACTCAAAAACCGTGAGTTTCACTCATAACAAGTTTTTGTTTGAATGGACGAGCGAGCGCACGTAACTATTTTGTTTTGATCTGCAGCTTCGCATTTTTCGAAACACTTTTAGCAATTGAGATACAAAGATACATAGATAGATATGTGTGCTTGGAGATAGGTACGTAGGTATGCGCTTTTGTGGCTCTTGCACTTTAGCGTGTACTATAATTTGATTTAAACGAATTTAATTGTACGCTGACACAGTTTTGAACTGTGTGGGTTTCGCATACAAGTATTTAGTATATTTTATTCTCTTTGTCATACACTAACAATGGGTGTTTTGACTTTCGCGCGGTATTAGTCGATGATACAACGTGAAGAATTGCAGAAAGATCAAATTTATCATCGTTTTCTCTCACCTCTTTGCAGCTATCCTCTGGTCGGGCTGAAGTAAAACAATTAACGATATATACTTTCCTTTCTCTAATAACGGGCTTATTTGAAAATTTTTAATTAATTATCATTTTATCTGCATAAAGAGAAACATAAATTAATTTCCTTCCCCCATAGTTCATTGATTAGCAAAATTTGATAACTATACGCGAAATAGATCGGGCTGCGATAACTTCAGAACTATCATTAACTTACAAACTTGTTCTATCCACAGCAAAAATGTTATAAATTGTTCACATTTTTCAACATATTTCACGCGCATTTCCCTTCACATAAAAAGAGGATTTATAAAAAAAGAACACATTTTAAGCATACAAAAGAGCAATTTTTCTTATCCAAAAAGATTTGCTAAGGATGCACAATCAAATTGGACAGACTGCTAAGCTCGTTGGTGTATGCTACAATTTTCTGAGCATATTCTGTTTCAATGGAAACGTTTATCCCTTAAGGATTTCTCAACACATACAACCACGCACACTGCACTTCGTGCCAAAGCCAATGTTGCCAAGACAACAGACAGCGGATTCAAAAGTCAATAGCTCATATAACATGCAACAAATGGCAATCATTGAATAGAAACATACAAATGTACACACAGACTTGCATAGATTTCTGCTCTTAAAGCTGCAAGACAACCGCAGAAAAGTTGAACGACTTATCCTTCATTCATATTTAAAGAATATACTCTGTATTCGGAACGTGAACATGAAGTCTTGTCTGCCCTGGAATAAGGCAAACTTCTTTTCTGCGGGGCTTCTTGTTCACTTCTTTCAGTCTACTTCTGTGTGCCTTAGACATATTTCTTTGATTCAATGTTATTTCTTACTCTCTCATTTAAGGCTCAGTTCCGCGCCTCTTTAAGTAAGACAAGTAGATTCAAACCGAAGAGATCATTATATCATCATTAATCATTAAACAATAGATGATTAAAAAGTTGTATTAATTAAATCGATCTACATAATTGTTTATTAATTCAACTTAATACAGAACAGATTAATTGAATAATTTACGTTCAAGCTTATAATTTCTCTAGAGAAGTTCCATTTTTATTTTCACCCTATCTTTACTTCATAAAAGTATTTATGCATACGTATGTACAAGTATATCAACACTTTATTGCCTTGGCATGTCCAAATAGTTTACCGCGCTCTGTTCTGTATTGCTACTATGTCTAATTATTATAGTATATAGCAGCTCCCTTGAGTTTTTTTTAGCGAGAGCATCCAAAGCTCTGAGCTGAACTTGAATTGTGGCTGTTTGCGATGAACTTGTTTGAATTGCGCAGCAACTCAAAAGCTTGACTTCAAGTTAAAAAGTATTCTCATTCATTGATGCGCTGCTGCTGTGAATAACAACTAAGCACACACATTTTATTGCATCTGTAATTATATAGAAATTACCTTGCCAGATAACAAAAGTCATGCCCAATGAACTGCAAAAGGTTTTAGCGCTGAAATTGGCAATCACAATAAAGGTTTTTTCAGAAGAGCTCAGTATAGGAATAAAATATAAACTTCATTAATATAACAAATTTGCAGCTATTTTAGTATTACATTTTATTTCCACACCAAAAGAAATTTAAATAAATATTGCTTACATTGCTCAGTGAGTTTTGTTTATAAAACAATCTCAAATTATTCTTTTACTTTTACGGGACAAAGTTTGAGCATTTTTTTCGAGATGAAGCTATTTTTGTTTTATATTTTTTTTTTTGGTTTTATATTTGTTTTGGGTAAAAATAGCTAATTAAATTATAAACCCAAAAGACTTTTACATAAAGCAAACTATCTGAAAGCAAATAAATATACACAGAGAAACATAAGAGGTCTATTTATTGAACGTTCGCTGTGGATACTGTTTGGCTATATAGACTCGCTTCGAAAGGTATATCTAAACCCTTTTTTATATAGAAGAAAATCAGGTCATTGGAGCATTGAAAACACTAACTAAAAAATTATTTTCGATTTGCTTGAGCGAAACCGTTATGGCCTTTTCAGCAGTTTGTTAAAATGTTGCCAATTTCATGGCATTTGTATTCTTCACTAACTTTTCATCAATTTTCTTAAGCTGCTTTGCGCTGCACTCCATTCAGAGAAATGGAAAACTGATTGAATTCGCTGGTGAAAAGCAAGAAAATTGAAGCACAAACCCACACAAAACACAATATTTTTCTATTATTATTTGGTGGTGCATTTGGTAGAAGTTGGCATACTATTTGTTGTTGCCTGGCTTATTACCCTGGAGACGATACGCCGCATTTCATGGGGTTTACAATTCAATTATAACGTGCGGCAGAGTCGGAGGCGAAAAGAGTTCCAAAGGAAAAAGACAGACAGATGAGTGCAACATACAATTGCAGCTAACTACAAACAAATTGTTGCTGTCCTTGTTGTTGTTGTTGTTGTTGTGGAGTGTTTGTTGTTGCTAAGGCTACTGCTGTTGCTGCTCCTTCTGGTCCTTTATTATCAATAATAATATCAAAAGAGCACAAAAAGGTTACTTCCTTTCCTAACGTTGACTATTTGTTCTAGAGATGAGCAACTGACAAAGTGAAAGAAAAGCTAAATTTAATTTAAAATGAAATTTAATTTAAAATGCGATATGTATTGAAATAATATTCAAAATGACTGGTCGTGAAAATCCGTAAAAACTTTAAATAGAAAATAATGCAAAAGCTATCGAAAAGGTATTGAAATTATTCAGAAGTAGTCACTAGAGTTAAAGCGTTCTGTGGATAATGAATTCTCTATTTGATTGAAGGATTATTGAATTAAATTCTATGTTATAAGCAACTTATCTTTCAAAAAAAAAAATAGTCTCATCAATAAAGGGTTTAAATTCCTTTTTGTTTCTGGGCAGTTAGCTTAGATTATGTTTATTTTATTTCCATGAATTCTTTAAGAATTACTTTCACCGTTTTTTTGGATCAATTTTCTAAACGTTTTTTTCCTTTTGTTTGGCTTTTTTGTTTATAAAAATTGACAATCAAACGTTAAGACAATATTTCTGTGATCAACATTTTTACCTGTTGTTAAAAAATGCACACTTCAGCCCTATATGAATGATTGCACGCCGATCTATATTAAGACTACAGTTTAATACTTGAAAAACAAAAAATAATAATAATTGAAAGAAGTGCTTTATTTAAATTCAGTTTTTGACTTTTGTTTATTGGTAGCTTCTTTAAATTTCTCAATTCCTTCCAAGCTAATTTCCAAGGACACGTCCACTCACGCTGCCAGCACTAGATCGTACTTAGTTTGGCGCGTCGTCTGTCTAGCTGTCTGTCGGTCCATCACCTGGGCAGACCGAGCATTTTCTGCAATATGATATTTATAGTTGTATTGTGCTTATTAAGATGCTGCTTATATTCAATCCTTGTGGCTGACTGCTCTTCTTGCTGATGCAGCCAGTCACGGCCTCCAAAGCGGTCCATTGTTGTGGTGACTTGCCAAAGATTTTGTAACCAAAGTAGTATTTCAGTCAGTAAGGGCAGCAACAGCTTTCTTGAAGGCATCGAATAGCCAATTCGACTGTGTCTGCAGATTTTAATAAGCTCTGGTCACTCGCCAAGGTGTGCAACAAATGCAATTCTGAGAACCTAGGGTCCTTGTCATTTCATTTGGAAAACCTACTGTTGCAGAAACGAGCAGACTTGCAATTTAATTTCAGGCGTTTGCATTTAATGGCGTGTTGAAAACTAACGACAGACTCATAAGTTACAGAGGGGACAGCAGACAAGATATGGCAGCGGACGGTTACTCAGCACTGCACGCCAGAAAAGGAAACTCATAGCAACAACAACACCAACAACAACTACAATAGCGGCACATAAACAAATTGTTTAGCCGTTAAGGGCGAAAGAAACAAAACGCCCATATAATCTGTTCAATAACTTGGAAAATCATTGGCAATAAATCAAAATGACTTGCAGGATGACGAAGCCATATATACACAGTATTCCAATGTTGTAAGAGTATGTGGAAGCATATACATATATATATATATAAGTACAAGTCTGTTGGCTGAGTTAAGCAAATTTAAAAACTTAACGCATGGGCGGCATAAATTTGTTTTTATTCTTGATTTCTACTCGAGCGAAATCAGCAAAAAATCAATGCCCGAACTTCTTCCTTCTTAAGCTATGCGTGTGTTTTTAACGCTGCAGTTAGCACATCATTTTTAGGCACGGCGTGAAATGGCGAGCTCTGAGCTCTGCTTTGAACACTTTTGCCCATTTCCATTATCTTTCACTTGCGATCAAATGAAGTGTGCAAAGTGTTGTGGGCTCTAAGCCGCCCGACAGGAGGAGAAGTTCATACTCGCACTAATGCGCGAGGTTGTGCATGCAATGAACAGGTCGTCCTATTTAATATGTGTGTGTGTGTGTGTCCAGGCAGCACTAGGACAAACATTCGTATAGCCGGAAGCTAAGAATGGACTGGGATTGTGAG